TCTCTCTCTCTCTCTCTCTCTCTCTCTCTCTCTCTCTCTCTCTCTCTGCCTTCTTGTGTCTTCATGTCTCCCCCACTCCCCCATGTACAGAGTTTGGTCTCTAAATCATTTTGTTGTGCCCCCCCTTCTTTCCTCAGGATGACTAAAGCTGCAGGAGCCCAGGAATTTAGGCCTGTGAACCTTCCCCTCCCAATAACCTCCGTCCTCTCCTCTTCCCCTCCCTCCTTCCCTGAATCTCTAGCAATGGGATGTAACTCTCCTTTTCAGGAAGACGATAGACCTTGAAAATTCCTACAAGCCTTGAGTCTCTGGGACCTAGGAGAACAGAGAGAGGAAAGGCCATCCCTCCAGAGAGATGGAGGGAAGGAAAAAAGAAAGAAAAGGGAAACACTCATTTCCTTTCCCTCTAGGTGTCCCAGACAGCTTTATTCAGCTTCCACAGCCTGCCTAATATCCCAAGAGTGTCTCCACCCGTCACCTTGTCACCTTGCCACGCCCACCTCACAGCTCCACGTAGATTCCCTCTGAGCCATCGTCTCTTACCTCAGAGCTCACCTGCCTTGTGTCTGCTCCTCACAAGCCTCCAATCTTACCAAGGAGAGAAATAACCTGCCTGGAAGAATCTTGAAATAAAGAACTGGGGCTGAGGACTGACCCAGGGCCTGCTGCCCACCAAGGCTGGGTTGGGAGGATGCCAGAGAACATAGGCTTCCTCTTAGTTCACCTTCAGTGGACCAACAGGAAGGGCTAGCCCCATGAACCTCTACAGTTATCTTGATCCAGGCTGTCTCCTGCATGGTTTTTTCCTTTTGTTTTATTTTTTTCTTGTTGTTTTGTCTTTGTTTTTATGATAGTAGATTTGATGCTTGAACTGAGGGCCTCAACTGTTCCAGGAAAGAACATTATCTCTGAGCATCTTCCCACAGTCCAACTCCCGGGTTTTTGACTTGGGGGTGGGTAGGAGGCAGCCTAGACAGAGCTCCAGAATCCAGGTCCTCTGTCAGCCTCTGTCCTGGTTATATCACTGGGACTGGGCTATGCTGGCTCTCTCACCTTGGCAGCAGGCAGCACCTGCTATGTGCTTGGCATCCAACTAGATAGTGGGGAGAAAATGGTGTCACCTATTCTCTTGGATCTGGCTAATTACAGTGTCTTTTAAAAGAAATTACAGCCTTGACAGCACCTGGGGACCTAGAAAGGTTCTAAAGGTGAGCACCTCAGAGATTGGAGAGGTCTCTCTAAAGAGGAGTGCTCCAGCTGATACCTAAGAGAGTAACCAGGAGGCACAAGGCAGGAAGGACATTTTAAGCAGAGAGCAGCCATTGTCAAAATCCTGCTAGGAGCATGGAATGGGGATGGGGAGGGGTGGGGAAGGGACGGGATGGGAGGAGTCACTGAACATGTGGCAAAACAAAGTTGGCAGTTAGGCTCAGGGATTGGGGTGATCAGATCAAGGAAAGCTTTCTAGTTATGGAAGTGATTTTTTTTTAAATTATTGTTTTAAAAGTAGTAAAGGGCTTGGGGCCTGGTGGTGCATGGATTTAATCCCAGCATTCAGAAGGCTGAAGCAGCCAGATCTCTGTGGGTTTGAGGCCAGCCTGGTCTAAAAATAGAGTTCCAGGACAGCCAGGGTGGTGGTTGTAAAGAGAAACCCTGTCTTGAAAAACCCAAAACCAAACAAACAAACAAAGTAGAAGCCGGGGAGGTAATTCATCTGTTAAGAGCGCTTACTGCTTGGAAAATGTATTCAATATGTCTAACCCACTGGGCACAGTAGCTTTGCCTGCCCCTCCCCTCATGAACATACTCACAACCCTTATATTATCCACGTGTCTTGTAATAAATCACTGACTATTTGATACTATGTATACTGTACTGAAATGAAGAATGGGTACAGCACACATAGGTGGGTATTTTATAGACAAGAAGAGTTTAAAAAACAAGCAAACACCTGCAAAACACAACATGCAAAACATACAGGCATCACAGTGTACAGGAGGGATCATCTCATGTTACCCCCTGGCATGGCTGTCCAGGAGCTCAAGAGAACATCCTACTGCATATGACTAGCCCCCGATATGAGATCCAAAGGGTAGAGTTTAGTGGATGCAGAGAACTTTCATGCCTTCATGAAGACAAACATTGTAAGCTGGGTGAGCCAAGAGTAGTTCATACATAGCTACGCACCACCATAACAGTATGGGGTAGTGTCTCTGGGGTTGGGAGAAGGAGGCAGTTGGGTCTCTAGGAGCCTGTGGCTAGCAAAAGACTGTCTTTTCATGGAAGTTCATTTCATTGGTGTGCAAGTAATGGTACATTTATTTCATCCTCTTCTCTGTATTCATCATTTTTCTGGGAAAAAGGTGTGTGTGTGCACGCACACGAGCACGAGCACATGGCTACACCATGAGCATGTTAACAGACACACAGTCAGATTTGTTTCTATAGTTAGGAAAGCCACAAAGGTAGAAATGCATTCTCTTACTTTGCTTGCAGTGCTGAGGTTTGAACTCAGGGCCTTGGGCTACACCACATCCCTAGCCTAGAACTATCCCTCAGTCCTCTGTATGTCCAGTCTTTTAAGTTCTAGAAGGTCCTTGGACCAAGTCCATAAACGCCTCATGGGACTGGCTCAGCAGGAAACAGAACATACCTTTAAGGAGATCTGTGTGTATTCTATAGAGCTGTGGTTCTCAACTTTCCTAATGTTGTGACCTTTTAATTCAGTCCAGTTCTTCATGTTGTGGTGACCCCCAACCATAAAATTATTTTTTTTTGTTGCTGCTTCAGAACTAATTTTGCTGATGTCATGAACTATAACCTAAATATCTGAGTTTTCTGGTGGTCCTAGGTAATCCCTGTGAAAGGGCCTCCACCCACAGGCGGAGGTTGCTGTGGAGAAACATCGAATAAAGTTACAAGGTTGAGGGTCATAGGTGCCTTCTGGTTTTCCCAGAAGCCCAGAGGTGACCTCCCTCTCCTCCAACATCCATTCTGCACTGGTTGGCCACACAAAACAATGTTCCCAGCAGTGGGGTGACAAGATATGACAGGAGTAAAAGAGAGAGACCAATGTAGGAAAAAAATTTCCTATGTGGAAAATTTCACGTGGCGATTTCACTCGGGCAATAGGGCACGGTCAGCCCCAGGCTTTGAAAAGGTGTGTTATGACACTCCCTGTAGAGACAAACTAAGAGAGGGTCTAAGCGGGAGCGAGAAGTCCGGTTACAAGGCTCTGGACTGGCTGACCAAAGAATGTGGTTTTCACCTAGGTGTGGGATAGAGGGGAAAGGAGAAGGGGACCAGTGACCAGTGTCAAGGATCTAGAATGACTAGGAGTGACAGGACACCCAGTGAGAGAGCAGGAGGCCTCAAGGATGCCTCTGGGTTTAATGCCTAACAGAATGGACGTTGGTGTCATTCATCCTGAAAGGAACACTCAAGGGCGCTCAACAATGGGCAAGGTTGTTTGGGGGAGTTTGGGCTGTGTATTCAAGATGCTTCGAAAAAAGCAGGCAAGCAGTTAGAGAGGCAGGTCTGGGGCACAGGTGTGTAGGGTACAATTAGTTAGATATATGGGCTGAGTCATCGGGTGTAGGGTACAATTACCCTGGATTCCTCAGAGGACAGACTGAGCTGAGAGTAGCCTTGAGGAAGGACGATCAGTAATGGGTAAATGAGGGACAAGGATGCAGAGGAGACAGAGGAGGAGCTGCAGACAGGAGACAAAGAGATGACAGTTTCACAGAAGCCGAGATAAGGTTCTGCCTCAGGAGGTAGAAAACAGACAGACCTCGAGGGGTCAATAAAAGGAATGTGTTCTAGAAAGCAGGAAGAAAAACACTGAGTGAGCTAAACCCCAGGCCAACTGTGCTGATGCCCAAACACCAGTTTTCTTGCCATGAAACATTCGTTGGCACTGGTTGACTTGCCGAATACAACCCATGCCTAACTTGGCACCCCCTGCCCCATTCCAGTTTGCTCTGGCTTGTCTTCCAGTGTTATCTTGTATTTTGTCTCCTGGAGAAGCCCTGGCCTACAACAGCTCTTGGTCAGGTCTTAAGCCCTGGCCCACCCACCCCCCTTTTACATTCTGGACCTCACTTCGCATTCAGCCCTGGTGAACACCAGCTTCCATCATGATCTTATTCTGTATGTTTCTCTCTTCTGGATGTGTTAAAAGATACAAGCCGAGTCTCTGGCCTGAAGATGACACTTTATAACTTGACTGATGTTGACTTGCCAGAGAGGGGACACTATTCTGCAGGGAAGGGTAACCCAAGGCAATTAAGTAGAGTGGTATATCCTCACCCAACCAGGTCTTCTGAGCTTAGATAAGAAACTGGAGAGCCCAACAGATTCCTAAGCAGGGCCCTTTCTGGGCACACAGACACCTTGGTTAACTTCAAAAGTCTGCTCACAAAGTCCTAGAACAGTGCCACAGCGCCATCTCCTGGCAAATGGCACACTGTTCCTTAAAGACTGAAAGTTTGTCTACAGGACAGAAAAAAATGTGAACCTAGAATGAACTCCAATTTATAAGGGTAGAAATACGGCTTAGGAACTGCAAAACAAAGCCTGGAAAAGATGTGGAGAAAGCCCTTGTGTATTGGGGGTGAAGCTGTAAATCTGTGATTTCTGGAGATTTAGCTTCAGACACCTCATAGGACTTCCAAACAGATACTAGAAAGAAGTCATTCAAAGGGAGAAAAACTGTATATAGGTGAAACTGTAACTATGAGTACATTTTGGATGTCTGGAGAGTTGGAAGTAGCCATGTTTATACACAATCATGGCTTGATCACCTGATAGAATATTACATGGGCATCAGCATGGTCTGTAGAGGAAGTTCCAGGGGGCTTCCCAAAAAAAAATTCTGTATCAGAAAATCAGTGTGTGTGTGTGTGTGTGTGTGTGTGTGTGTGTGTGTGTGTGTGTAGGGAGGGAGAGAGAGTATTATACAGGTGTTAAAATGTGGAGTTCACTTATTGTATCAGAACCAGGAATATTCACTATAAAATGTCAAGTGATAAAATGATCCCCAAATGTAATTTTTTTCAAAGTCTCATGTATCCCAAACCAGGTAAGTATCCAAGGATGGTCTTGAGCCTTCTTGTCACCCTGCCTTTATCCCCAGTGCTGGGGTTACAGGTGTGCATCACACTACAGGCTTAAGCAATGCTGGGATTGCACTGAGGGTCCTCTACGTGCTCCGCAAGCACTCTACCAACCGAGCCACATCCCCGACCTTGCTCATTTTTGTTATCGAGACATCAGCTATTTAATGGAAAAAATAAGCAGGGAATTGATTAGGAACGTACTGCAAGCTCAGAAGGCTAAGTTTCCTTTGGGTACAGTTATGGTCAGAGACTTGCAGAGTTTCTCCAAGTGTCTCTCCCCCTTGCACAGGCCTGGCCTAGAGCATGTGATTCATCAATGTCTGTGGAGCCTCGAGGTGAATGTGACATAGGGCCTGACATACCTGCCACCTTCCTCCGCGCCATGCTACCCCTGCCCTTCAGCCTGAGGCCTCCAGTTATTCATTCTGACTCAGTGCAGTTGCCAC